CCTTACCCCAACTCCTCCTGTGTCCCCCACTCTCAAACTCATGATCTCTTCAGTTATTATTGTTACAGGTATACACTCATGCACACATGTCTATCTAACCTACCAAGTCCACTCAGCTTTATGTACATGAGTCCCAGTGGACTACTTGGGGTTGGATAGCCTATGTGAAACTCATCCTGAAGAGACTGAATCTCCGTCCCTCAGCAGCTCTTCATCTAGGGGTGGGATATGTGGAATTTCCCCTGTCCACATATGGCTCGTCAGCTGGTGATATCATTACACCGGCCTTGCTCAAGCAACCATATCATCGAGGGCTCAGGTGTGTGGTTCCTTTGTCACACATAGAGGACACTATCTCCTGCTGCAGGCCGCAGGAATATATCATAAGAACTCAGCTGGTTATGGCAAAGTCACTACCTGGAGGAATCAGGGAATTCCTCCAGAGGAAGCCAAATCCCAAGGAGTTTTTGGTGTTACTTGGCTTGTTATATATCAGCTGTATTCTGTTATGAAAATCATGTGTGCCTTTTCCCTAAGAAGGGCTAACAGTGTGGACTGATCACTCTCTGGACATACACATTCCAGGTATTTGGAGAACAGCCTCAGGAAAGGCTTTCTCTGGAATCAGATATCTCCCTTGGCCACTTTCAAGGACTAGCAGGAATAACAGTCCACATGCAAGTCTCCTGATTTAAGGTAAATTCCACAAGGAGACAACACCTAGGTCAGGTGGATGTTAAGTAATAGCTTTACACAATTTAGCTTGGACCCTCATTTCTTATAGCCTTACTAACTTTATAGACCTCTAACTCCTTACCTAACCACTTCTAGGAATATTTAGATAACCTTCTACACTGACAGCTATGCTCAGCCAGAACCCCAGTTCAAGCCTCCCTGTAATTATCATCATTGGCAGCATCCGGCCAGGTCCATCCCCAGGTGGAGGAAAGTACCTTATCAGAGATACCTTCGTACTTTCTAAGAACAGACTTAAGCATCCAGGCTACCCATTTGAGAAGGCCTGGCAGATATGCCAATTAAGCTTTACTTCCTGCTTTCCCAAACCTTACCTCCAGTTCCAGATCTCCCTTTAACTATCATCAAAGGCATCTAGCTGTACACAGGTTGCCTAGCGACTGAGCACACTTTCCCCCACCCTACAGAAAAACGGCAGATAGCTTGGACAGATAGGAGCCACAGGAAAAAAGAAAACAGTTTTATTTTTTCCCATTGACCTAGCAACTTATAGATTCTTAACATTTTCTACTAATCTACTAAGTTTAATAGTTGAGCACATAAGATCCCTCTTCTTAGCTATTACCCGAATTTAGCCTTTAGTTAATTCATTTCCCCATTGGTCACTTCCCTTTGGGGTTGCAAATGATAATTAACGGTTATTGCCTCTCAATGTGATTCTTATCACCCCTCTGTTTGACCCTGGAAGCCTGGCTTTATATACCAGGACTTCCAGAGCATGGGGGAGAGGGAAGAAAAAAGAGAACAGAAGAACTAGACGGGTAAGAACTTGAGAGGAACAAACTGAGATGGGGAAGAACTAGATTGAAGGGCTGGAAGAGAGCACCAGAGGAACGAGATGGAAGATGAGGAAGAGTCAGATGGGGAAGAACAAGGTGAAAAGGACCTAGATGAGGCAGAATTAAGACAAGAGAATTAAGATAGAACTTAAGAGGGAACAGTAGATAAACAGAGAGAAATCAGGCAAGATGGAGCTAGGCACGAGAACAGAACTGAAGCTGTGTATATAGAATGTTATGCCAGAGGAATTAAAGCAAGTGGACTATAGAGCTCGGTGTGCTGAGATTCTATTCCCCGAAAATAGTCCTCGCCGTTAGTAGTTCTCTCTCCTGAGCCCCTGGGATGTATAATATTAAGGCTGGTCCCTCTGATATTATACAAGAATCTCCCAGTAGACACTATCTTCTGGCTCCTACAATCTTTTCAATGCCCTCTTCCACGATTTTCCCTGAGCCTTGGGTGTAGGTGTTACATGTATCAGATAGAATTGTGCTACACACAGTTACTTATTCTCTGCACGTTTACAAGTTGTGGATCTCTATAACAGCCCTCATGTCCCAAAAAGAAGCTTCTTTGATGAGGGGTCAGAGCTACACTTCCCTCTGTATAGGTTATGTATTTAGAATACAGTTCGAAATTATATTGGCTTAGGAAAATGGCAGTAGTAAGTTCTTCTCTTGGGTCTCTATGATCCCTCCAGCCATGGGCAGTCGGCTAAGTTCACAGTCCTGGCATCAATTCCCTCCTGTTAAGCGGGCCTTAAGTCCAACTAGGTGACTGTGGGTGACCTTCCCCCAAGACAAAAGTGCCAACATTGCACCATTGGGTGCAATTTAGTCATTGTTGAGGGTCGTTGACTTTACAGCTGGTAGGAGGACTAGCATTGCTGCTCTCTCTTGGCAGCTTGCGTAGGACCTTCCCATACTATGAAAGCTAGTCCTCATGCAGGAGGTTTCCAGGTCAGGTCCAGCTTGACTCCTCCAAGGTCTGTGTTTGAAGTGTGGGATCTTCAGTAATAAGGTCTGACCTTCAAGTTCTGGTGGTCACTGAGGGCTATGGCAATCCCCTACACTCTTTGTGCGTGGGGTGTCTCTTGGAATCCCCTGACCAACAATTGAATGGGACATTTTCTATGCCTGTCCATGGGGTTAGAATAACATACTATTATGTTTACTAAAACACATATATAGGGGCTGGAGAGATGGCCCAAGAGGTTAAGAGCACTGGCTGCTCTTCCAGAGGTCCTGAGTTCAATTCCCAGCAACCACATGGTGACTCACAATCATCTATAATGAGATCTGATGCCCTCTTCTGATGTGCAGGCATATATGCAGACAGAACATTGTATACCCAATAAATAAATAAATAAAAAATTTTCCAGGAGCTGAGGACCGAGCCCAGGGCCTTGCACTTGCTAGGCAAGCACTCTACCACTGAGCTAAATCCCCAACCCTTAAATAAATATTTTAAAGATACATATATAACATACAAGTATATGTGCATACATATGTAAATAATTTAAATGAAGTTAAGTCATTTTGCGTGATGTTGCTCCCCCAAGAGCCATAGTTTTGTACAACATCTCCAATGTGGGACCCAGTGAGAGATCAAAACTTCCTCTGAATGCAAATGAACAGTTCTAAGGTGAGTGGGAGAAGCCTTGGCAAGCAATGCCTTCCTGAACACTGGCTCCCAAGACACCTTGCTAATGACACACAGCCGCTCTTAACTGCTCACCCCTAGGGAAGGATGAGCACATGTAGGTAGGAGCCGAGCAATGTCTGCTTTCCTAAGCAGGGTTGGAGGCAGCCCTTCTAATGTGGGAGAGGGAGGGAGGCCTGCCTTGGACTGGATAAGGACTGTGGTATGACATGTAATGACCGACGGACACAGCAAGGTCATGGGAATCTAGAAGTATAAACTGCTTGTTGACGACTCTGTAAGTTTCTGCCATAAAACAAAATTTGTAGCTTGCTCTTTCTGGCCAAGACTCCCTCTCCACTGATAAAATTATACATCATCCCAGAGGTGCGGCAGAGTCCCTGAACAGTGTTGCGGCTTGATTTGCTACTTAGAATTCCACCTCAGCTGCATGGTGGTAAGTGGGTGTAAAAAGGACAGGTAGCTGGGAAGTTCTGCTTGAGCTAACAGAGACAGACCACAAAACAAGTGGTTTTGCGGATGGGGAGGAGAGTCACTGGGCCTTAGTGGCTGTATTAGTCAGACATTTTGTTGCTATGACAAATTGCCTGGTATAAGCAGTTTAAGGGGCAAAGGCTTATTTTGACCCACGTTTTCCGAGGTTTTGATCGTAGTGGGGAGAGCTCGGGCCATCAAAATGGCTCCCATCATAGCAGCTAGGTTTTCTTGATTTTTCTTGTGCATCTTGATTTTTCTCCTTCGCTCCATTTTATTCTATTGGGGCCCCAAGACTACCAGATGATGCTACCCACATTCAGGGTAGATGCCATGCCTTTAGCTAATCCTCTGTGGAAACACTCGCCCAGAGATACCTGGAGGGCATGTTTTACTTACCTCCTAAGTGTTTCTCATCCAACCAAGCTAACAACTAAAATTCACCAACACAAGCCCCGCCCCTCCTCAACTTGACACACTGTAACCAAGGCCCCTGAATGCAGAGCCGAGAAAGAGTTTCTAGTTTGATGGTGCGCTGGACTTTGGTTCAGTTCGCTGAAATAGGAAATGAAAGGGAATAAGTGGGTTTGGACATGTGGGCTGAGCGCCGAGAACAGGGCTATTCTAAGAAATGCAAACTTGAAGCTCCTCTGTGAGGCAGAGAAGGAATACACAGCTCTGGCCTCTCTGCAGGTAGGAGGAAAAGGCCACAGAATAGATGTAACCACCAAATGAGACGGTGTAACTAATGAGTAGAAATTAAGGCAGCCCCTGTAGAAAACAGCCATTTCTGCTGCCACAGCAGAGCCAGCTGACGGAGCTCGGCTGCTTCTTCCTCCACCCACGGAGGGGCGAGTGTCTTAGGACCTGAACCATCACTGACATCTGGGGGCCTGAGCCACCTGACAAATGCAAACAGTAGGAATGTGCTCCAGAGAAGAATGAAAAGTACCCCGCCCCCAGGAAAGAACAGGGCGACGGAAGGAAATTGGTTTTTGTGGAACAGAAGAGTTGGCCTATTTCTTACTCTGAATTTAATCAACTCAATGCCTGAAAGGTTGGGGAACAATAGAAGTGGGGGGAAGAAATCGTTACAAATGAAGGCTGCCTCTCCAGGGAGCTAGCTGGCCCTGAAGGCAAAGCAAACCCATGCCTGGGCTGGGGCTCATGGCTCAGCTGTGGAGCAAAACTGAATCTGTGGTCCCCAAGAGAGGCAGGGTAGAGCAGAGGCCCAGTCAGGGACCTGAGCTGGGAATTCCTGGTGGAGAGGACAAGGGTGTAATGATCCACTTATGACAGTCACTGACAACTGCACCGATTAAGCCAAGTTAAGAGTTTAAGTACTTTTTATTGACGGCCAGCCCAAGAGCGGGCTTGAGCCTCTTGGTGCCTGTATTTAGGGACATAGCATTTGGAAAGGCGAAACCCACAAGGATGCATCAAAGTTAGATGAAGGTCAGAGTAACCTTGAAACCTTTGTTCCTGGCAAAGCACGGTAGTTACTTTAGATGTAACTTGCCAATTATTTTGGTTAACATATCTGGACCATAGTCAAGACCATGGACATCTCAAGTGTTGTCAAGGCAGGTGTGACTGTTGAGGGGAGGGAGGGTAAAGGGCTGAGAACTGTCCAAACGAACAAAAATGGAGTCAGAACATGATGGCGTTACTTTGGTCATTTCATCCCCCTCCCCTTTTTTAAGTTATTTTCAAATCTTTGATCTTGGCTAAGGGGTACAGACTGAGTCCTGAGGATCATTGGCTTAACGGAGGTAATTTATTATGTATGGCTTCTCAGCAGGTCTTATAAAAAGTAGGCGAAAGGGGCCTGCAAGGCCAGGGAGGAGGTAGTGAGCCATGGTTTTCACCCAGTATTTTATGGTACCACAAATTATTTGATTTACATTCCTGTTGTCTCTTTTTGTTTGTTTGGTTTGGTTTGGTTTTTTTTTTTTCCAAGACAGCATTTCTCTGTGTAGCAGCCCCGGCTACCCTGGAACTAGCTTTGTAGCCCAGGCTGGCCTCGAACTCACAGAGATCCGCCTGGCTCTGCCTCCCGAGTGCTGGGATTAAAGGCGTGCGCCACCACCTCCCCGTTTCACTCCTGTTGTCCTTTCTCTAAATTATTTTTAACTTTTTGTAAAGTCTCTTTGAGAACTCCTGATTTGCTAGCATAGGAAGGACAAGCCTTTCCCAGTGTCATATAAAGTCCTCTCTGGGACGTGAAAAGCAAGTCTAAGCCCCGCTGGTTTGGGGGAGACTTCCGCCAGAGACTCTACCTAGACCTGAGGCATATTGAGGAAGAAGGCGTCTGAGGTGTGCATCTAATTGATAACTGTTAAAGGCCCATTTCTCCCAGTTAGAACCGTAGTTCTCAAGGCAGCAGGGCCCGCTACCCCCATTTCTACCATCACCGGAACAAGGAGAGGGGCAGCTCTCTTATGCCACCAGTGGGACAGCCCAAAGGGGAACAAGAGGTGAGTCCCCTCTGGTCCTGAATAAGCATTCACTCTGGGGGGGGGGGATACATGTACAACCATACATAAAACTGGATTATTACACAGATGTTCTGAGGTCATACAGCGGGTGAGACTGGCGGTACACACCAGCTGAGTTCCTGTGGAAGAGAAATAAGTTTCTGAGTTACGAGTAACCATGAGACTAGTATTACAAGAGGCAGAAAGGGGGATGCATAACCAAAAAGGAGTCCTATTCTGAGAGAGTCTTAGCCTGGGAGGATCTGGTCTAAGTGAGATGGTTCATTTCTGGTCCTGGTTTGGAACAGGCTTGGCAAGGGCGTGGTGAACCCAGGCAGACATCTGGTCAACCTTGATTGTAGCAGCTGATGTGGTCAGCGTAACAGTGGGAGTCCTTTCCAGGCAGGTGTCAATCCTCTTTTCTGAAACTTCTTGATGTACCTGGGTCCCTGGGTCAGAAGGAGGGACGGGGCACTGAGGAGGTAACCAGAAGGGCATCTTGAACCCTAGAATGGACTGCAGTCTGGACCTGTTGCAGAGGCAGGAGGTACTTTAGAAGAAACCAATTGGTAATCTCTTCAATGATAGGGTCTCTTAAACAGGGCCACAAAGGAGTGGTCTTGCAAACATAATCTCACAGGGGGTGAATCCTGCCTTGTAGGGGATACATCTTTTCCTAAAAAGTGCCAGGGGTAACAGGTTGGGCCAGTTTTCACTGATTCCCAAAATTAATTTGGAGAGAATGGACTTGCTAGTGGAGTGCATGTGTTTGGCCTGGCCAGAGCTCTGCAGCTGGTAGGTCCAGGTTACATTTAAGGGCTCACTGACAATTTGAGCTATGGGCAAATGAAGTGAAGGCAGCTAAATTATCTGATCCAATTGACAGGGGCTGCCTGCACCTAGGAATAATCAAAGAGTCTTGACCACTGTCAGAGCTGTCTCCCTCCAGGTAACCAAGGCTTTCACCCATCCTGAGGTGTCCACAGACATTAACAGATACTTATACATGAGAGGGCTTCATCTCTGCGAGGCTGACTTTCCATTTCTCACCAGGGGCTAGTCCCTTCAGAGGAATGGTGGGGACTCCTTTTGGCTCTTGCCTTGGGGTAACTTCTGTGCAGAAGAGATAGTTAGAGCCAGCCTAATTAATGGCCATCTCTCAGAGATGTAGAATCCAGTACCTGGAAGATAACAACTCGGTTAGTCTAGTAAGATCCACTATCCAGCTGGATCCTATTTAGCATCCTGGAGCAGGCCTTGTCCTCTTCTTCTTGGGAGCAGGTGGGCTGGCGAGACAGCTGGGAATCAGAAAAAGCAATGGTCAAGACAAAACAGGACTCTGCAGGAATCCCTGCTGCTTACCGGGCTGCCTGATCGGCCCTCTGATTTCCTTGGGCTTCTGGTGTGTTGGCTGTTTGATGCCCCTTGCAATATATAATAGCCACCTCCTTGGGGAGCCAGATCGCTTTAAGAGGAACAATAATTCCCCCTTTAACAGTCTTTCCTTCAGCAGTCAATAGGTCTATGCCTCGGGTAGGGGAGTATCCCGGAGGTCTGGGTGAATGGCTTGAGATATGTCCATCAAGTCCCCACAGTTATGGAGGGGGACCTTGGGGTTGTCATCAGCATCAATGTCGAAAGGTTGAGACTGTACAGTAGCAAAAGTGAGGCCAAGCTGATGAAGCTACGGACTCCGGTACTGAGTGATGCAGGAACTTGTCCCTCTTAGGAGGGCTCACACAGCAGGGGGGAAGGCAAATATGGGCTAGCTAACTGGCCCCAGGGAACTAGAGAAGCAAGCATCCTTAAGGACCAGGACTGGACAGACCTGGTGGTCTGGTGGGAGGAGACTGAGCAAAGTGTACAGATTTGGAACTGTCAGATGAATGATTTCAGCCCATCGGTGATTTGTCTCCAGTAGGTCCTGGGCTGACTGATAACCTGAGGTCCCTGGCTTATACACAGGCGATGAAGGCATATTCCAAGCTGACTGGCATGGGGTGAGGAGGTTAGCTTCCAGTCTAGCAATTTCCAGTCTAGTCTTTTGGTTCAAGGGATATTGACAGTCCTCTGTCAGTACGGCTGTAGCCAAGAGACTTACCATAACTGGTGGACAGTGTGCTGCCAAGCCAGGAGGGTTTATCTCAGCCCATATGTTAGGAAATTGCTGTTGCAAGTCCTCAAACAGGGGCCCTGGGTCTGGATTTGTTTCTGTTGTGAGTGGGGGAGCTAGAAGATGTTCTTCAGACAGAGGACAGTTAAGCTGAGTTGGTAGGACAGGCATAAAGGACATTTTAGCTTTCTTGGAGAGTAAAGGTGATAGTGATGTTACAGAGTTCCAGAACACCCAGAAAAGACCCCCAGACCCAACTCAGATTCTAATTAAGCAAATTTATTAAAGCTGCTAGCAGGGCTGAAGTCTGTAGCTCAAATTAGAGATGTGCTGCCCAGAGGTAGGTGAAGGACGAGCTTTTAAAGATGAAACCCACAAGAGTTGTTTGTCTCTGCCAAGATTAGATAGGCAAGGTGATCTCAAAATAGTCCTTGAATGTCTGCGTAAGCAGGTCACAGAAATCAAAATCAGCAGTTAGTCATATCACAACAAGCAGATGGTCAGGGCTGTACATTTCTGGGGTCAAGCAGTCAGGGTTGCCGGGAACTTATCTTCCAGGAACTTGAGTCCAGAACCAACGGATATTAGGCTCCAAGGTGGATGCCTAGCACAAAGTGGAGTTTTTTTAGCCATCACAGTGGTGCCTGATTTTTGAAAAACATCTTTGCCCGAAAGGGAGAAAGGGCAATCTAGGACCACCATGCAGGTGTGAGACTAACTGTTCTTTTAGGTGTAAGGTGATTTTCCTTAATGGTGCCCACTCCCCACACTGGCATCTTTTTACTGATAATTATTGTTATTATTTTTTTTTTTTGAGGATCTCTCCCTTGGACACAAACAATACAGAAGTAGCCATAGGGGCTCAGAGTGAGCTGACTGGAACACAGTCAGCATAAGCCTTGCTTGCCTGCATACAGCTCTTTCAGCAGCCAACACATCCTGCCTCTCTGCCTTGTATCATCTCAGTTATTGTGAACATTTTGGGCTACCGCAATGAGCTGCAAAGCCCTCTAGCATTCGGAGTTTTTATGGACGCCCGGAGGTGATTGAGTGACAAGAGCCAAATTTAGTGCTCTAGCATTTTTCGGAGCGAGTGGATCAAATGGGATGTAAAATCTGAAGGCCCTTTTCCCCTCGAGAAATGCCTCGGGAGACTCTCCTGCCCTGAAGAGCCTCAATAGTTTTAGACAAATTAGTTGTTTCAAGCTGCACCCTGAACTCCAGCATAAGATACTGGAGACAAGTGTCCAGGGCCTGGGAACCTGCATACGTATTGGGGTCCCAATTAAGGCATTTGGATGGAAACGCTGCCTCAAATCGAGTAGCTTTTCAGCATCTGTCCAATGGATGAGTCCCCAAAAAAGCCTTCCTCGCCTCGGCCCCATACATCCCTCTCTGAAGTAAACAGAGAAGGAATTGCAGATGAACACCTTACTTAGTTGGGGCGATAGATGAGAGGCACAGATTCCAGGATAGCCGTTGTAGGCCTTGGGGCTTATCAGAAAAAGAGGTCTGGGTCTTCCGGTTATACAGATCTGAAGTGAACAGAACACAGATCAAGGGAAGGGCAACGCCCTTCCTTTAAATCATTGCCCCCGCCTCGGAGGGAGCAGCGTCTTGTATGACAGAAAAACAAAGGCTGGTTCTGGGTCCAGTATGGGGCATGGCGGGCCCTCAAGCGGGGAGCCAAAGGTGCCTCGGAGGCCGGCAGGACAATAAACGGAGTGGGGCCGCCACCGCCCGGCGAGGGAGCTGGCTCACCAGCTCGCCGGCTCGCCCGGGAGCATCGACGCCGCCCGCCCCGGCTCCGCGCAGAACCCAGAGGAGCGGCGGGCCCGCCCCGCCCCCTGGCGGTCGCCCGGAGCGAACGCAGCCTAGGCAGGTCCCAGGGACCTTGCCGCGTGCCGGGGCCGGGGTGTGTGTAGGGGGCGGGGAGGTGCGAGCCTGCGGTGGGAGAGACGTTGGGGTGCCAAAAGACCAACCGCCAACAACAGCAGGGGGTGCCACCTGCTGGCAGAATGAGGGAAAAACAGGCAGAATTTTAATCAGCTCCCTTTGGGGACAAAACAGAAACACCAGCCGCAAAATCAAGAAATCAATTCAACAGCTCCCAAAGCCAAACTTGCCTGTCACGCGTTCAGGCGACTCTCTGAACCAAACGTGCTCTTCATGCATTCAGTCATTCACACAGTTGGCGGGCCATTCACCCAAGCAAAACCAAAATCGGGTCTCTCATGAAAGGCAGAACCAGGATACAGGATCTCCCACTTAGTGTGGAGGGAGGACGAGGAAAGAGTTTCCTGCCAGAAATTCTCTTCCTAAGCCAGGTCGAGGACCTTGAATATCCATCCCTCTTATCCAGAAGAGCCTCCCCTTTGGGGCCTATCCCTCTTATCCAGAAGGCTCCCGTGGGGCTCGTCCTCTTCAACCAGAGTTCAGCATGCAGACTCACCTCAGAGGAGTGTCAGAAGGACTCCGTTTCGGTGTTGGGAACCCAGCAGTCACTTCAGACCTCGACTCAGTGAGAGGCGGAGCCTGGAACATTTGTCAGCGGGGACGTCTCCTCTGCAACTTCTCCCTGGCCAGGAAGATGGGAAGTTCATGGAGCACGCGCAGGGGATCTCGCTGCAGCCTCCAGTGTAATGATCCATGTAAAATAATTGTTGACAATCACGATGGTTAAGCCGATTAAGAATTTTAAGTCCTTTTTATTGATGGCCAGACCAAGAGCAAGCTTGAGCCTCTGAAGTCTTTTGGTCCCTAAATTCAGGGATACGGCATTTTTAAAGGAAAAACAAACACAGAAGATCCATCAAAATTGATTGAGGGGTTGGAGTAACCTTGAAACCTCCATTCCTGGCAGAGCATAGTAGTTATTTTAGACATAACTTGTCAATTATTTTGGTTAATATATCTGGACCATAGTCAAGGCCATGGAAATCTAATCTCAAACATGTAGCCAAAGCAGATGGTGACTATTGTGGAGAGCTGGGTAAAAGGGCTGAGAACTAAGCCAGTGGTTCTCAACTTTCTAATGCTGTGATACTTTAATACAGTTCCTCGTGTTGTGGTGATCCCAACCATAAATTATTTTCCTTGCTACTTCATAATGTAATTTTGCTACTGTTATGAATTGTAATGTAAATATTTTTTGGAGACAAAGGTTTGGTAAGGGGGTTGAGAACCACTGAGACACAGCTGAACCTTATATTGTTATGCCCAGATCATGACCCCAAAGAGACCACTGAAGACCTTGGATGTCCAGAATGCAACAGCAAGGTTTATTGTATAGATACAAGTCTAGACAGGGAACTCGTTCCTACACCCAATACAGTGAGGCAGGGAGGAGTTGCTCTTTCTTTGTGTGGCTAGCTTTTTAAAGGCAAAAACCACAAGCCCTTCAGGGGGGTTGGGGGGGTTTGCCATGGGTGCAACTCAGATTGGTTTATTTTTATCTCTTTTCTCTTTTAATTGGGTGAGGGTATGTAACCTTTGAATTTACTGGTTGGTGGTTACAATTATCACTTTGGGGGCAGTCCAACACAAGTCCCAGGCTCTGTCCTTGAGCTGCCATGGGGGCTAGCTGGCCTAGCACGTACTGACTGTAGGGGCTGGCTCAGTGGTCCAGGCTCTGTCCTTGACTCATGCACATAACTTTAAGTTGGTGAGGAGTCCCAGACAGTAAACATCTGGCTGATCTTTGAGCAGTCAGAGTACATGCAGAAAGGGAGCTACTGCAAGGACTATGTCTTTTGTTCACGGCCCTCCCAGAGACTGCTTGCTCAGTCTCAGGAAACTGAAATTGAGGCCTGATCTCTGAGAGAAGACTGAGCAGCCTGTTATGGCATCTGCTTGGTCCTTTCAATATATCTGTTGTACTTGTATCTTCAGTTCTGTGCAAATTATTTAGTTGCATAAAAAAATCATAATTTTGAGACTACTATTTGGAATATATGCAAAGTAGGTGTAAATAACAGAGCTAATTTAAACAAAAATATTAAGCATTCATGTAGATAAAATGTGGGCATAGCTGGATATGGTGATGCATGCTTTTAAGCCCAAATACTTGGGAGACAGAGGCAGGCAAATCTCTGTAAGTTCAAGGCCAGCCTGATCTACATATGGAGCTTCAGGCTAGCCAGGGATACATAGAGAAATGGTCTCAAAAACAAAGGAAACAAAGCCAAAAAATAAACAAAGGAATGAATAAAGGATGAAAATGAATAAAGGAAATCCCAAGCTTTACAAATAACTAACATTTAGCTAAATAGGAAAATTAAGTGACAATGAGAAGAATAGCTCAGTGGGTTAGAATACATGAAACCCGGTTCAAACCCAGCACCAAAATATGCCATAAAAGAATAAGAAGGATGCCTCTGCTAACAAAATAGTTAGGACAGAAGTAGATTCTAAAATTAACAGCCAGAGAGGATAGGAATCAGGAACCGTGCCAATGCTTGGGCCACAAGGCTCCTAGCCCAGTGATGGACACAAACACCATACATGGAATGCATGTAACACATACACATGCATTGTGCATTAATTCGCTGAATTCATAAGTGCAGTTTCATTTGCATATGAACCAATAAATGTATTTATAGTGTATGTATACACACAATTCACAGTGACACATGTATGGATTTAATCTTAAATTCTCACAAGCCTGAGGCAGGTACTATTTTCATTTACATTTAGCACATGCAAAAGTTGGCCCAAAGAATGCTTTAATAATTCTTCAAAGAAAATTATTATTAAGTGGCAGAGAAGGTATTTGAAGGCAGGACGTCTTAGTGCAGAACTTCACCTTTTATCTGTTCCTTAATGCTGAGATGAGATGAGACAGACGAGACAAAATAAGAATAAGAAGTGTGTAGATGGCTGCAGACCTGGAGGGCCTCAGACATTGTCTTAGAGTTTCTAGGGCTATGATAAAGCCGTGACCTAAAGCAACTTGGGAAGGAAAGGGTTTATTTGGCTTGCATGTCCCAGGTCACAGTCCATTGAGGGAAGCCAAAGCAGGAGCCTGGAGGCAAGAGCCGATGCAGAAGTTACAGAGGGACACTGCTTACTGGACTGCACCCCTGGCTCATTCTCAGGTACCATTTTATACCGCTCAGGACCACATGCCCAGAAGTGGCATTGCCCACAATAGCTGGGCTCTCCCACATCAATCATGAATCAAGAAAATGCCCTCACAGATTTACCAGTCTGATAGAGGCATCTTCTCAACTGAGAGGTTCCTCTTCCCAGATGGGTCCAGGTTTGTGTCAAAGTGAGAAAAACCGGCCAGCACAGACACCACACTGAGGAGTGGACCCTGGCACTGGAGGCTGCCAGCTTAAGTATTTCCAACCGAAGGAGGCAAGACTCAATGATTCAGCCTGTCAACTGGTATTTACCGACTGGGGTGGATAACCGTTCACTAGGGCCTGGCCAGAGAGCAATGATCCAAGGAGAAATAACCCTTGCGTTCAGGAAGCTCCTTTCTGGCAGTGGGGTTAGCCTTGAAGGGAAAAGCATCCAATTAACTAGTGCTCACAATAGTAATCAACATGTGTGGGGGGGGGGGGTGCTGTTCTGAGTAAGAGGGATACTCTCTTGGTGCGTGTAGGCACTAAACAATGGGAAGTGGGGAGGGAGACCTCCGAGGGAGTTCCGGGCAGATAGAATGGGATTCACAGAAGAGACCCAGGAAGGAGGAGTGGGCTTGACTCAGATGCTGAGTTTAAGGCAACCTCAGGGCACCAATGGAGTTTATGGGTTGAATACAAAGATCTAGACTTAAGATTTGAAGATCATCAGTAAACATAGAGCGTCTAAAACCACCACAACGAACAAGATCTGAGGTCAGTTGCCGTATTCAATGACTGCAGAAAAATGGCTGCACATTGTTCCCAGCTCTTAAGGCAAGGGGACAGAGATATGAAATCTTTGGAGCAGAAAAGGAAATACCAGCCATGAACTGCCAATTGTGGGACACTCCTAGCGTCTATCACTTCCACATCCTGGCTGAATCCAGGTTCTCACACATAGACTAATGACTTCCATGTAAGGCAGTGGTTGTAAGTATGCATGTGTATGTGTACATTCTCATTGCATGCGCCAAAGCATGTGCACTGTGTGGTGTCTGTGTGTCCTTGTGATAAAAGTGTCCATTTACTATTAAACACTTAATACATACCACAAAGTGTTTTGAGATTATGTCTCATGCATCCCAGGCTGGCTTTGAATTTGCTATGTAGCAGGAGATGGCCTTGAACTATGGATCTTTCTGCCTTCACATCCTAAGTGCTAGGATTGCAGGTGTGTGTCACCACACTTAGTTTATGAGATGCTAGGTATTAAGACCTGAGCTTTGCGCATTCTGGGCAAGCTCTCTGACCTAGCCCCTCCTCTTCAGTCCCTCCCCCTCATGCCACAACTTTTTTCCACAAGGTTTAATGTTCCTTCATTTGAAAAACAAACCTGAACACTATCTATCTATCTGTCTGTCTGTCTATCTATCTATCTATCTTTGGCATGAGTGCTCTGCCTGCATGTATGCCTGCAGGTCAGAAGAGGGCACCAGATCTCATTACAGATGGCTGTGAGCCACCATGTGGGTGCTGGGAATTGAACTCAGAACCTCTGGAAAAGCAGCCAGTTCTCTTCACCACTGAGCCATCTCTCCAGTCCCCAAACCTAAAAAGTAGAAATAGTAATAGTCTGACCTCAGACTTCAGAGAGGAACTAGATGTGCAGCTAAGGTTTTACATGTGCCCTCAATGTCCCTGCAAAGGTACCTGGGATGAACATGTTGGAGCTTTTGAAATCATTCTGTTCTAAGGATGGTCTTTGGGGTGAAGTGTCTCTAGCATCCCCTTAGTAATGCCCTTTTGGGAATCTCTGAAGAGTTCTCATTTTTTTAAGCTAAGAAAACCATCAGGAGGTTTCAAGTTTGGGGTGAAGGCACACCATGTCCAAACATGGATTCTAATCCTAGAACATTTTGTGTGCTTGCTCAAGATGCACATGAGCCATCCACTCGCATTCGGGTAAGATATCCAGGTGTTTTCACTCGGCAACAGTGACAAAAGCTGAGTGTACGAGGTTCCTTATAGAGTACAGCTCAAGCTTTAAGGCTGAATTAGTGAAGATTTGTAGAGTGGAACTCAGAACTGAACCCAGTGGCATCTTTGAGCCTCTTCATTGAACAAGAAAAGAAATTCAGGCTGGGGAGATGGCTCAGTGATTAAGAGCACTAGCTGTTCTTCCAGAGGTTCTGAGTTCAAATCCCAGCACCCACATGGTGGCTCACAACCATCTGTAATGAGATCTGGTTCCCTCTTCTGGCATGCAGGGATACACGCTGGCAGGATACTGTGTGCATAATAAACAAATCTTTAAAAAAAGAAAGAAAGCAAGAAAGGAAGAAAGGAAAGAAAGAAAGAAAGAAAGAAAGAAAAGAAAAGAAAAGAAAAGAAAAGAAAATTTCAATTGAGCAGCTTCCCGTTTGGACATTTGCTACATGGCTTAGTGTCATTCTCTGTTGCTGTGATACAATCT